CCACTTTGAGCCTTGTCTAACGATAGACCTTTCATTTTTTAACCCACATTACCTAACCTTGGGATGGGATGGTGTGTAACTCATGCAATTTTAAATTTCATAAAAAAGCTTGAGTGACTTCAAAAGATTAAAATAGCAAAAAATAATAAAATAATAATAATAAATAAAAGTGTACAAAAGGGTAAGTGTTCCAATGTCTTTGATATGAAAATGCCTTTGATAAGAACACGTCTCGGATTGCGTCTCTTATCGAGTGCTCGGTACCGTGCCTGAGAAACATGAATGCCAAGTGAGTGATAGACCGCATGATCGGGATTGCCCACACTTATAAAAATAAAATAAATGCTAAAGCAAAAGAAAGAGAGCTAAAAAAGAGTAGAAACTCAAGCATAAAAATACAAATATTCAAAAGCAAGGTTGCACAACTTGGGGGCTTATCTGGGGTCTTGAGCTTTTTATCCCTTTCTTCTATAACCTTTAGCCTAACCACGTTACAAACCCTTAAAAAGACCTTTTTGAGGTATACACACACTTGTGCGAGGTTCGGCTAGAGCTACGTTCGACCTGATTCCTAACGGATACGTAGGCAACCTCACATCGAGGTGCGGCCGTAATAAATCTCTTATGCTCATCCCTATTTACTTAGAGCTAGACTTGGGGGCTTGATCCCTACATCATTAGCTTACCTAGCCTAAGATTCACCACCATTTGACTCTTTTCAATATATTTTCCCACACACTTAGCCCTTGCGGCCTAACTTTAGTATCACTTTCACACACCGCACAGAGACATGACAAAATAGTCTTTCCCTAAGGAACCCTTTGTCATGAAATCTTAACATAACGCTGAAGCATGCCTTGTCATGCCAAAATCGCTCATCAATCATCATTGCATCACAAAGTATGAAATACTTAGCCTCCGCGCCTAAGTTACCCAAATACTTTCATCATTGAGTCAATTGAGATAGCCTAGGATGAATTAATCCTTGCACCTTGAGAGATAGTATCAAACAACATTTGACTAAGCTCATTCAACATGCATCTTCAAAAAAACTTCACTTTGATTCTTTTTCGCGCCTTTCTTTTTCGGGAAAAAGTCGATACCCTCCACAAAAAATGACAGAAATTTTTTGCTTTTTTGCATTTTCGAGTCCCACGATCACATTACGATGCACACACGAGTCATGTACACATTGAGTCATGTTGTGTTATCACATTGAGTCAACACTATGCACACACGAGTCACATGAAGCGAGTCAATCACATCAAGTCAAGTTCATACCTTGAGTCACGACAAGTCAATGAGTCAAGCAACACTAAGTCTTAGGTCAACCCTAAAGAAAGATAAGCAAAGTCCTATAGTCAAAGATATAAATGCAGGTGCATCCCAGTAAGCGAGGACATTCCCGAATTTTTTTCAGAAAAACCGTGAATATGACACAGGAGATTCCTCCAAGATAAGAGGAGTTACATGGATCAGTAAATTAGAGATGAAGAGCTTTAATTTATAAAAGATTTGAGCGGATTTGGTTGAAAGGAAATGACCAAGCTCAAAGTTCGGAGAAAAACCAAGTAACAGCGGAAGCAAGAGCAGAATAGGGAAGACCCGACTCCAGCGCCAGACGACAAGGGTGTCGCTTGGCAACAAAGTTCAACGCCTGGCGCTAGATCCCAACGTCTGGCGATAGAGCCAATTCTTGGCGCCAACGATATTTCAGCAGCGACAAAGCTCGAAGCCTCTCAGAATGGTTATTTCGACCTCATATAACAATTTCGGGTTCCTTGGTATGCTAGCTAGCCCCTATAAGCAAATTGAAATGATTAGTAGTCGGCTCGATTACAATCGTAGTAAGTGATTGACCTGACAAAGAATCATCTCACTTAGCTTAAGCGCTTAAAACACTGGCTCATTACAAGCACCAACGTATCGGTTTAAAAGCAAGCACTTAAACGACAATATTTCCATATACGGATTGTCGCACATTCTTCTTAAATGACAATATTTCCAAATATGGATTGTCGCGCATTCTTCTTAAACGACAATTTTTCCAAAAATTGGATTGTCATCCCTAACTGACAATATTTCCAAATATGGATTGTCGTGCATCTTCTTCAACGAAAATTTTTCCAAGATTGGATTGTCATCTCTGGCAAAGTTTCCACGCGTGGATTGTCGTGCTCCTTCTCTGTTTGGCAATTTTTTCCAAGTTCGGATTGTCATCGCTGGCAAGTTTTCCGAGATTGGATTGTCATACACCCAGTTCCCTATGGAAAAATTTCCCAAAGGATTGTTGTAGGTCTCTATTCATCATAAATTTCGGCAAAGGTTCCTCAACGTGGATTGTCATTCATTTCAGTAAGTGGCAAATTTTCCCGAAGTGGATTGTCGGTCGACTCTTTTTTGCAAATGTTCCAAGACGCGGATTGTCAATTGTGGCAATATTTTCCTAAAAGGATTGTCGCATAGCGTTGGCAAATTTCAAAGGTGGATTGCTTTCAAGAGTTATATTCCAAGATGTGGATTGTCGATCGTAGCAAAGTTCTTATGACAGATTGTTACGAAGCATTGGCAACTTTTCCCAAAATTGGATTTTGGCAAATTTTCTGGGATACAGATTGTCGCTTCATCGTGGCAACATTTCCAAGGATGGATTGTTACGAAGCATTGACAACTTTCCCTAAATCGAATTGTCATACATCATACAAGAGTTGTGTTGGCAACTATTCCCAAAGAAAAGAGGATTGTCATCACAGCAAAAGCACCGACTCACAAGCAGCAAAGCGCCGACGTACTGGCATAGCAACATTAAGGATCAACAAACAGTGATCTTCTCGAAGACTATCACAGCGGAAATTGGACGCAGTTACAGGCGTAGCAGTCTTCAGGCGGTATTCTCTAGCTTGCGGAAGATCGTCACAACAAATCGGTTACCCTTCAGAGACGTGTGCTCGACGGTGCAAGATACGCGTTTCTTAACTCTCTTATCTGTTTAACTAACGCTAGTTTGTTGGTATCGGCGTTACAAGAGTGATTTAGGATCGCAGAATGTTCTGAATCATTCTTTGTCCCTATCGCTACATTGACTTTTGTTTTTGAAACTTGCGTTTCTCCAAACTCAATCAAAGTGGGGGCTTCTATAGACACCCATTTGTGTCTCCCCAAAACCAAACCCGCTGATGAGTACCTTTCACGTCGAATCATAATCGAATGAAGTGAAAGTGTGGAAAGTTTAGTGTTGCGGATAGTTTTAATTTCTTTTCTCTTCTCTCTGTTTTAGAAAACCTATTTTAAGAAAACATCAAATCTAGTTTGTTTGGTCCATGATATGGGTCCAATAGTAGTGTAGTTGGATAGGGATTGAAAAGACCTTTTCGACGATATATTATAAGCCCGATTCCGATGAATATTGAGGAAGTTATGGCCAAATTACTGAACTGGGCCTGGTTTGAGCTTTATATGCTGCCCAATGATCTAGAGGAGGGCCTAATATGGATTTGTCATTCCTAATGCAATTAGGAATGATTTTAGTTTTCTAGATTCTTCTAGAAGGTTCTTTTCATTCCTAATTTAATGAGCATTGATAAATTGACTTCTGTTGACTTTTTAGAGTTTTAATTAGAATAAAAGAATGTTTTTTGAGGAAAATACGATTTTATCCTCCTATACGGCAATTTCTATCTGATTTTTAGAAAACGTGTCAATAATTAAGTTAGCGCCAAACGCCAGCATTAGCGCCTGACGCTAAGCTTGGCGCCTGGCGCTAGCGTTAGCGCCTGGCGCTAACCTCGTTTTGCGCGTCAGAACTCTGTTTCGATTTTTTTATCTTTTTGGCTGATTTTCTCTATAAATAGCCTTCTAAAAACTCCGTTTTCATTCACCAATTCTCATCAACTCTCATCAAGAATTTCATAATTCTCTCTCCCTCTTTCTAGCCTAGCCTTTTATAAACAAAATTCCTCATACATTAGCACTAGACACACCTAGCCAAGTTCGATGTTGCCTTCGCCCTAGACGTGAAAGGTTTGATATTTCTGAGGGTTTGGTCCCAAATCTCTTTTTCAATTATTTAATTTAATTGCTTTGTTTATTATTTTCCTTGAAGTTACTAACGTGTGTATTTTGTTATTAGAAAGAGATACGAGGCATCCAAGTAAGTGCTTTAATTGGTTTATTGATATTATAATATAGAAATCATGTCTAAGTTGTTATTGTGGTTCCTAGTATCATGTTAGGATGCTTGATGTTTAGAATGACAACAATAAATTCCTAGTATCATGTTTAGGGTAAAGAATATAATGTCAATTATGATTTCTATGATGCTTTCTATTTTCTTTCCTAATAGTTTGTTAGTATCATGTTAGGGTTAAATCTTTGATTTTTAATGCTTAGTGACATGTTAGGGTTTGTTATCAATCTTGTTAGTATCATGCCTATGATCTTGCTATTATTATGCTTTAACATGATTATTATTTTTATTATTTATTATTATTATGTTGCTTGATGCTATTTTTATTGTTATTGCTTGATCACACCTTTTATGCATGTTTAAAGGGAATTTGATTATAATTCAAGTGATCGCCGATAATAGTTTTATCTGTGCATTATTATTCAACCAACATAGATAAAAAGGTTTAGGGTTAATCATATTGCTTGCATGTTAGTCAGAAAGCGCACATGAATACGATTAGAATAAAGTAGAGGCCTATTATTAGGGCAGGTTCAATCACTTTTAGGTTGGATTTGTACCTTCATCCCCGAACTACCAGTCATGGTTCAAGACCTATTGGAGTTAACGATCTCCTAGATCGTTAAGGGGTGTAACCTTCACCCTGTGAACGGTTTACAAGTTCCTAAAACTTGTTGGCGACTCTTTTGCTCTATCTTCTTTCCCTTTGGATGCCACCGTACTTTAGTGTATGATCACAGTGGGGTTCAAGCTAGGGATAATGCTTGAAATATTCCCAACAATAGCACAACTAAGCCACTTTGTAAAATACTACCTGCATAAGCTGTCATGTAGCTTTCTTTTGTGTAACACTGGTGCACAAACTCTTCAGCTTCTCTGTTCAGAAAGAAAATGCAAGCAATTGCATGCTTGTAGGGAATGCCTAGCATATCCCACTTTTTGCAAGTACATGACATTGTTTCTAGATTCACAACAACCTGATATGTGAAACATGTAACATTGAATAGTTTCATTGTTGATGGTAGCACCTCACACATGGCAGCTTTATCCTTCTTATGATCCAGCTTTGTCTGAATCCTTGGGCAGAAAACAGATGTACACTTCTCCATCGGTTGCTTTTTCTGAATCATTCTGTGCATCAGGTTTGATTTGATTTCCTCAAGCATGTGCAGCAGATGCTTGGTTCTTGCATTTATAATATAGCCATTGAAGGTTTCAGCTATATTACTTGTTATTGCATCTGTCTTGATGTCTGTGCTAAGGAATGCTCTGCAAAAGTTTTCTGGGTTGTAAGCTTTAAAATCTAGTGCAACTTCAACATTGATCTCATTCAGCTTAGCAAGTGCTTCTTCATAACCAGCCTTATTGTAGCACATTGCAATCTTCCAGAATTGGAGTTTGAATTCATCTCCCCTATAAGATTTAGACCAGTTGGCGTAGACATGCCTAGCACAGTGTCTATGTTCTGCTTAAGGGGGAACTGAAGACACACCACTTATAATTGCCTGCATAATAATCAAGGGCACCATAAACAACTATGTATACAATTTACCAAGCCAAATACATTACAAACAAATTCCAAACCAACTAATCATACCTGATGCTCATCAGTGAGAATTGCTAGACCTATACCGTCACCAAGCTCCAAAGATGTCTACAGATTCTTGAAAAACCATTCCCAACTCAAGATGTTCTCCCCTTCAGTTACAGCCCAAGCCACAGGGAACATCTGATCATTTGAGTCCCTCCCAACAGCACAAAAGAGTTGTCCACCCAAAAAGGTCTTAAGGAAACAACCATCAATAGCTAACACTTTTATGCATCCCTCCTTCCATCCTTTATCCAAGCCCTCAAAACAAATATACAGTCTCTGAAATATTGGAGGGGGCTGTTTTGGCATCCCAGCAACTAACTCAAAATGACTCCCAGGACTGCAACTCTCAAGGGCAGCCAAATATCCCCCAACTTTTTGGTAATACTCATACATTGAGCCATGCAAAAGCTTGTGAGCTGCATATTTCACTCTGTATGCAAACTCTATTGTCACAATGACCTTGAATGCCCTTCTAATGTAGTCTACAATTTCCTTGGCAGGCCAATGTGGTCTAGTATTGAACACATCAAGGAATTGTTGTGCAACCCATTTGTCCTTCATTTGCCTATTCTTCTTCATTGTCCTATTGCAAGTGTGCTTACCACAAACTCTTTTCACTATGTAAGAAGCTTTCCTAGAGTGCTAGGAAGCATAAATGTAAAAAGGACAATCACCACTACACTTTACACCTAACCTTTGTTGCCTGTTCTTGTTACCAACATTAGATGTTAGATTTTTCTTCTATACTACAACATACTTAGTTACAGCTTCTCTGAAGTCCTCTCTCTTTGCAAACCTTAATCCAACTTTCCATTGGAAATGAGAAAAGTCTTAATCTGGACTCACCAAAAGAGCTTATGCCCTCCTCCTTCTCACATCATCACCATCTTCATCACTACCTGCTGGTGACCATGTTTCATCCCAACTGTATTCATATTCACTCAAACTAGGACAACCTTGATCTTCAGTCAGACTGCCTGGAACCTCTTCTTCTGCAGCCTTTCCCTTAGCAGCCTCTCTCTGTTTTTGTTGAGTAAGCTCAACCAACTGACTGTTGCAAGCCTTTACCCTCTCCTTGGCAGTCTCAAACTCCTCATCACTTACATCAGATTCACTTTGCAAATCTTCACCAAAAAGAGCTTCTTCAAACTCCTCATCTATTTCTAGATCTATCTTCTCCAAATCCACCTCTGCACTCACATCAGCTTCACAATCACCTTCCTCTTCATCCTCAATGTCAACATTAGTGAACACTTCACCAAATACCCCAACACCTAATTCTGAACTCCCTACAACTACTCCTTTTCCTTTGTCTACCCTAGGATCATAAGGAGGATCTTGGTCATCATTGTCAGAGTAATCTGGGATGAGGTCATTGATAGGAATTAGGCTATTAGGCCTGTCATCATACCAGTCAAAATCTAGATCCTTAATTGGTTCATGGTGTGATGTGGATTTTTCTGTTTTTGGGGAAGAAGTGAGGTTTAGAGGGGTTTTTTGTGAGGTAGCAGGAAGAAAAGATGAGGTTCTGAAGGGTGGATCAGGGCTAGCATCTTTTATTTGGAGTGAGGTGGAAGATGCTCTTTTTTTAGGTGTGGAATCCACTTTTGAAATTAATTGTGGTTGAGTGGGTTGAATTTTCCTAGGACTTGACCTCACTTTAGTCAAAACAGTTTTATGTGGTGGTCCCCTCTTTGGTTTCAGTTACGAGGTTTAGAAGATTGAGGTGCACTTTGTGAAGCTTGTGTACTTAGCAAGGGTTGAAAATGTGTTGGCTGCTCTACTAGTTCTTGTGGGTCCAGTTCTGGGTCCTCTTCATCATGCAAGACATACAACTCAACATCCCTATACTTCCTCCCTAAATCTACCACCTCAACTGCATCATTATCATTATTAATTCTCCTCAACCCATTACACAAACTAAGTCCAGGAATCAAATATAATAGACCCTCAACACCCTTACCCTTATAACATTCTTTACCCAACTCTAATAGCTCAAAATAAGATAATTCATCTGGGTCCACTGACTTTGTCCTCCCTCTACCTCCCTCATATACCAATTCACCATTAGCTACTGTCTTAAACCCCCCTCCATGCCACACTTTCAAACTAATTTTCTGGAAATACGTACTCATATCAACCTAAAAACTCATCACAAAGAAACAAACACAAAAAATCCAATCAAAACTACTACACATCTATCAAGCAAACAAATCCAAACAGAAACAAACTCAATTGTTCGACTATGACTAAACCTGGTAAATAAAAAACAAAACCCAATCACAAACACATAAATCAAACACATGCTCAACATAATCAATCAAAATCATATCTTTTACTTCAAATTCTAACAACAAATCCCAATCAAAATGCTAGGAGTAAAGAATTCACAAGTTCCTAGGGTTACCTGAAGTATACGATTCCACTTCGTTCTTCGCTGTCTCCTTCCTCTTGGTGTCTCCAATTTCCAAGCTTTTCACAAATGGCGATTCACATTCAAGGAGAATTTGGGGGTGGTTGTGTTCAATTATGGTGGAGAGTACGAATTTTAACTCTCTTTTCAGAAGATTAATGGCGCGTTTAATGGAGAAGCAGGGGAGTGGTTGAGATTGCCACGTCAGCTCTAATTTTGGGAGGGAAATGAGAGAATTCAGTAAACAAAGGGGCTATATTGACTTCAAGGGGTCATGTTGACTTAAGTAGCCGGTTTCCAGTCAAGTGGGATTGAAGAAAAATAAAGCTCCCAAAAGTTGGGATTATTCCAGTATAAATGAAAGTTGGGATTATTCCAACCGAAAGTTGGGATTAATTTTTCTAATTTTTCCAAAGTTTTATTCAATTTCAAACTCTTTAATCTTATCTTTTCAAAAAGGTTAATCAGGATCTTTTAGAAAATTAATCCTAATTGGTTTAGGAATTGGATTAAATTATTTGGACCCTCCACATGATCATTGGGTCGTAGGTAAGGTGGGCTTAGGTTCGGTTTGGGCTCAGTTTAATATTTTGGCCATAACTTATTCGTTATATCTCGGATTTGGGCTTATAATATATCGTTGGAAAGCTCTTTTAAATCCCCATGTAACTATTAAATCATTGGACCCAGATTATGGACCAAAATAAACTGGAATAAACGTTTTTATAAAAAGGACACGAAATGAATGATTTTAAAGGACACGAAATAAATTATTTTGGGTTTAAAGGCACGAAAAGAGGAAATTAAGTGACGGTTTGGGGAAATGGGCTATGAATTGGTTTGTTTATGAAATGTATATATGGATCTAAGTACTCCAAAGATTAAATACTCAACCCGACCAATAATGGCGGTGAAAGGTTGTTCATCATCGGGTTTGGTTTTGGGGAGACATTTTTAGGTGTCTACAGTCACACATAGTCATGTAATCACATAAGCATACAATAAGCCAAGGTTCACATAATGCATTTCTAAAGTCGTAAGCTTGGGTGCCAAAGGTACCATATTTTTAAGGAACGATGCACAAATCAGTTACTCAACGTGTTGACTCATGACATAGCCCTCCCAACATTTTGTTGGCAATATGGGTGGGATGATTGTTATTGATTTCGGGATAGAAGCCTAGTGTACATGTTGGAAACCCCTAGTCAATGAGCCAATCCCTAAAGGTTACAATGTGCTATGATTATGCATGATGCAATTTTTCTTGTTTGGTTTTTACTTTTGTGAAAAGAGAAGATATTAAACGTTCAAGTCTCGCTCTCTAGCTAGAGATTATCCAAGTTAACTAGAGATTATCCAAGTTAACTCTCGTTTAACCCATAGGCAACCTAGTGTTGGAAACCTTGGACCATAACTAAAAATTAATCTTGTAACCTCTAAGTCCCTAATGGAATCACCACTATAAGGAGGGTGTTCCCATCTTAAGGGATCCTTCTCCTTAAATGCTCATGGCCCTTTAAAAGTCTAGGACTTTACACTTGTTATGGTGTATTAGGATTTGAATTCCTGACTGTTTGGGTGACCTTGAATTAGAATAGATCCTATCATCATGATTTTTTATAAGAAACAAGTAGGAGTCGCCAATGAGTATTAGGAAAACTCATAAACCTTGTTCATGCCTTTCTCCCAAGTAGAGTTCAAGGGTTATTTAACACCAATCGCAAAATTATCCATGCCCAAATTGGTCTACATAAACCAAAAATGACTTCGGGAGCGAGGATACTAAATTAACGTTCCCTTTTAGGGGGAATCGCTATCTTATCCCTAGTAAGGCCTCTACTAGCTCTTTCTTTTTTACAATTTCTTCACCAAACAATATATGCAATGTGATACCTAAAACTAAGTTAGTTTATTTTATTTTCACACGTCAATCACGTAGGAATTACATTGAAAAAGTCGTTATTCTTATTTAATCAATATTCGTGAAATGAACAAAAATAAACGAGATTCGCCTTGGTTTAAGTGATCAATCAACAATTAATTATTTAATTCTATTCTTTATTTAACACAAGATATATATTACATGAAATTAATTAATTAAAAGTTCGTTTAAAGTGATCAAACAACACTAATTAATTAATTAAACTTATTTTAAACAAGAAAAATAAAGTGATTGATCTAAGTGCTCGGGAATTTACCACTTCTCTTTGCTAGATCTTTTTTTTAGAACAGTTATGGACTCCTTCTTGTTCGGGAACCTCCACCATAGCAACAAGAATTAAAGAGGGTGGGTGTTTGGGACAAGAGGGTTTGGTAGTTCACAAAGTTTCTATCAGAGATTTAGGTTTAATTTTGTCTCTTTGAGCCTC